CTTTAAAAATAAAACAAACTTAATAAATACTTAGAAGATGAAGGCAATATTACAGGTTTTCAGTTGGGAAATATAAACTTTCATTTAGTACTTAAAATAATAGTTGGTTTTTTACAGAGTATGCTAGTTCTCTGTCTACTCCAGCCCCTACTGAAAGAAGTTAACCACCTACCAAAATGCCTCTGTCATGTGCTTTCAATGTTAACTGGCTTTTTCCACTCTGCAGCTCATAGTCGGAGGGTTTATAGACCAAACTGAGCAATTTCTGCTGTTACTCTCATTGCAGATCCAATGGTGTCACACCCTGCTTCACCCTTCAGGGGCCTCCTCTGCTCTTACCCTAAGTAGAATCCCTGGACTTGTCAGGAAATCCTCTCGTCCCCACATGCAAAGAGCTCCTCTTGCCGTCCAGAAGACTGGCCCTGGAATGTTCCGTATGGCCCAACACATGGAAATAAAAGCAAACGATGTGAAGTTGGTGTTTCCCACCATCTTCACGTCAGTATGAGTAACGTATTGAAAACACTCAAAACACTTGCTTTTTTACTAACTTCTTTAGAAAACCTTCAAACCTATAGATGGCACGTCTGGGCGATCCTCCTGTCTGCCCTGTGACATTGTGACATGGCCTCTCGTCTTTCTTTCCATGTAAATGTGAACAGTTCACAAGGTAAGCCAGAGAAAAACAGATTTCCAAACTGTCATGAGTGACTTCGTCCATCTTCTATAGGGAATTGGCTCATAATGTGGGTCAACCCCCCAAAGAGGAGCTGTCTTTTTTTTTTTTAATTTTATTTATCTATTTGAGAGAGAGCGAGCATGAGCAGGGGGAGGATCAGAGGAAGAAGCAGGTTCCCCGCTGAGCAGGGAGCCCGATGCAGGACTTGATCCCAGGACCCTGGGATCATGACCTGAGCCGAAGGCAGACGCTTAACTGACTGAACCATCCAGGCGCCCCAAAGGAGCTGTCTTTATGAATTTTCTTCACCAGGTTTGCCCAAGTATTATATGCATCCATGTGAGGCATCTCATGGAATTTCCCACCTCGTTCTCCTTCTCTGTCTCTTTCAGAAATAGGACTCTACGGCCCCTGTAATGACGACTGAGTGGTGTGCTAGAGTCTATGCAGACCTGCTCACGAGATAATTGTTATCTTTTAGGTACTTGTGGGCGTGTAGGTGCTGTGTCGGTATCTCCACATCACCCATGGCAGGAGTCTCACCACGAAAATAAGCGAATGCTATGAACCAGGGCTCGGCTAACCCCCTCTGGAGAGCCAGTTACGGGGCCTTTACCAGCACACCAAGAAGGCCGTGTGAAGGGCCTGGCCTGCCCTCTGCAGGTCTCTGCTCTTCCATCCCGTCTCCCAGGAAGCCACGCGAGGGCGCCCCTGGTTTCTCCGTCTGCATGTGTGCTATTCCAGCTAAGTCTGCATCTCAGTGGTGTCTTCAATGGCTGGTGACCTGGGAACCCAAGTTCTTCCTTGAGCATGTATCTGTAATACCCTGAAGAATCATAACTGAACTGATTCTTATTAAAAATGAGCAAAGAAACCTGGGGAAAGTTTCAGAAGTTTCGGCGTGGCCTCGGTCCCAAGTCTGGTTCTGGCGTTTCCCAGGTGTGTGTGTGTGGCCTGGAGCAAGTGACCGAACTTCCTTTGTGTCTTAGTTACCTCATCGGTAAAAGGAGCAGAACATCGCTTATCTTTTTGGACTTTGCGAGGATTAAATGAAATTACATTATATACATGTACTTATATATGTGTACCTTGTACGTCTATAGACAGGATTACACGTAGATATGTTAGAACGGTGTCTAGTGCAGAGTGATCAGTAAAAATTAATTAGCATTATTGTCTATTGAAATAATTTTAGACTTACAGAAAAGTCACCAAGACAGTAGAGAGAATGCCTATGAGTCTATCAGCCTCTCCTGCGAACACCTCACATAACCATAGCAACCTTTTTGGAACCAAGAAAAACACTGCTGTTAACGGATCTGCAGACCTGCTGGGAGGGGAAGAGAGTCGCCGACTGGCTTCACCACGACGGAGCGTGAGGCTTGGGATAAAGCACAGTGAGGGAGGGTGGAGGACCTCGCCCCATGCGCGGAAAAGTGGCCTGTAAACACATATCCACAGAGACCTAGGTATTAGTGCACCGAGCACTGATCAGAGATGGGGTCCTGGAAATCTTGGTGAGCTGCTCCATGCTTCAGAGATAGCCACAGAACAGTGCTTTGTGGCCACACTTCCCAGCAACTGTGTTGTGGAGTCAGCATCTGGCAGAGAAGGCTTGCATCCTTTCTTCCCCAAGGAGGCGAGTTTGGTGAGTCGCCTCCACACAAGTGGGTGTGTTGGCCGTCTCCAGCGCTCCATGGCTGCGCAGGCCTGCTTGTTAAGCAAGCCCTTTGATTCCGTAGGCGCAACGGACGGAAGTCAAGTCCCCAGGGAAATCTATAGCAAACGTTTTATAAAATCCACGTGTGACTACACAGGACAATGATGTGCATGTTTCGGGCAATAGAGGGTGTGACATATATTATCAAGGAGAAAAAAATAATTATCTTTGCATCGATTTTTTGTTCATAATTTGTTTTCAACATAACCTAAATCTGTCTGGCTCTACTTCAACTTTCTAGTTACTTGAAAATCAACCAAGATGGCAGTGGCTCAGACAGTGGCCCTGTGATTCTCTATTCCAATGGTTTGCTGGTTTCCATTGTCTTTTCCCCCTGCAATTAGGTAAGAAAAAAACACTCCCATTTAAATGCTGGTGGACAGATTCATACATATTAGCTTCTGGACACCACGATAATTAAGACACCATCTGTGTGTTGGTGAGATTTGCACTCAGAAAAGCCTGGAATTATCTGCTCTTCTAGATAACAGTAAGAGTGGGTTAGACACACTGATGCCAAAATCAAACATCGATGTTGAAAACAAACAAAATATTTTGGTAAAATATGAGCTGTCTTGTGTCCAGTTCCATCTGAACTCACACCCACTCCATGCTTTCAAGGGGCAGGAAAGGGGTCTATTTCAGGTTGGGAAATCTTTAACGTCGAGGTTCTTCTCTAACAGAAGAATAAAAATACCAGGATTGAAAGGCTTCCACCGTCATTGGGTGAGACGGGGGTCACACGCCAATGCCGAAGGGGAAGGTCGGGTATATCTCATAAGGGCAAAGTTTTCAGCACAAAATCAACCAGGGGATAATTTTCATTCTTTCAGCTACATACACACACAGACGGTTCCACTCACACACACACACACGTGTACACATTTCACATGCATTTGGGCACACGGAAGACCAGCGTGAGGATGAAACAGGGAAGACAAGAATTTCTTAGCTTCAGTCATTCTTAGGCACAAGATTTCTGGCCAAATTCTGCAGCTCTGGACGGGTTAGAATGTCTGCATAAGATCTCAAGAACCACAGGAGCTTGAGAACTTTGATTCCTTCTCTACCTCCAAGCGTCCCATCCCATACAGGACCCCCGCCATCACTAATCAGAACAAGGATTGTTTTCTGTCCCGCAGGCCATCTTCCCCTCACAAGCTCCCCAATTAAAAGTGAAAAATTGGACTTCAGCTGTGGAAGGTTCCAGCTTCTAAAGAAGATAAACTGGAACGAAAGACCCTTTTGTTCATTTTTCTTTTCTCTGGGAAAGCTACCTTTAAGGTTGCAAGAATATAGCATGCAATTATTCTAAAAGGATGTGCTTTGAGATTTTTAATTCATTTTCATCTTCCTTGTATTATGAAAGCTATACTTCTTTTTAAGGCTTTCAGACTACCAGCTTAATTTTCATACTGATTCATTCGGGGACAAAACAAAACTTTGTATAAACTGAATGGAAAATGACTCTTTTGTGGTGAAGAATCTGTGCTTGCATTTAATTATAATGCATGGAAGTGTTCCTTCCTAATTAAACATTTAAATGAAGAGGGGGTATAAATAGAAATTTTAAAAAGCGAGTGAGCACGACACAGTTCACCCATCCCAAGATGAAGGTGCTCATCAGATCTTATTTTTTCCCATACTCAAAGCTGATGTGATTGTCCAGGGTTTTAAAGTGTGCCTGCACATTTTTGGGGGGGAATTTTTCAGTGCATGTGATAATTACTATATTAGCAATATTCTTCACTTACATAGGCTTATCAGGGAGGAGCCTCAAAGTGCTTTATTATCTAATTAAGCCTCACAACATGATGCAATTTTATTAATACATAAAGTGAAACCCAGTACAGTTGAGTGTCTGCCTTTATGGTATAAGATGGGAAAAAGGATGAGAATATAAATTTGAGTTTGGAAAGAGAACACAGTTCAGCCCCTGGACCACCCAGCGGCCTCCCATCTCAGGGAGCACACATTTCCGTGTATTAGAAAATTTGGGAAAAACGTAAAATCTGTTTATGTACAGATGCTCATATTTCACATGAAAGGTAACAACAGCCTTACCTTATTGAGTCATTTCTTATATTATGTACTATGAGATTTTACTTCTCTCTGTCATTATATTCTACTTTTATTCCCAACCACACCTTCTTGAACCAGAGAGTGATTCTCTGCCTCTGGTTATCAGAGCAATATTTGCTTTGCTGTAGGAGAGGACATCCACATCTTTTTATTTTCTAGCAGAGTCACTCAGTATGCGAAGTGCTGAGAGCTCAAGTGATCCCAGCATGCTGTTTCATGTGCATCCTTTGATCTGCGGTAGAATCTAGTATGGTCCTGTGCATGTAGGAGGTACTGAACAGAAATTTACTTAAGGAAGCAAAAAGCCTCCCCAGAAGGATTTAGGGGATGTGGGAGAATATGTGACATACCAAACAGAGGATTGTTTGGTATTCATCACACCTTACACTGTCCATGGCTAAGAATTTGGCAGAAAATCAGCAATAGATTGGAAATGATATGGAAATATAATCTGCAGAAACATACTCAGAACCGAGAGAACACAATAAAGTCCAGAAAACTGGCATGTACATGAGAAAATTGAGTGTAGGTAACAGTTAACCTCTGTTGTTTAATAAAATCTCAGATGCTTATAATAACAGGCATTTCTTATCGCTCATGAATCTGCGGGCCAACCGTGTTGAAGGTTGGCTGGTTGTAAGCCGGTTCAAAATGGCCTAGGATGAGGACCGTGGGCTCTTCTCTACATGGTCTCTGGAGCCCCGACAGTCTGATCCAGGATATGTTGAGAGAGACACAGAGAGGAGCCCAAATGGCTGCTTGAGATGGGCACACCATCACTTCAGCTCCCTTCCTCTGGCCAAAGTGACAAGGCCAGCCCAGAGGAACGATGGCGAAAGACAGTGTAGCAGCTGATGGAGATGCAGGACACAGATGCAGGGAAACCATTAATTAGGGGCTTCAAGGTAGGCACTCCACTGCCGCAGGTGGCTGTCCCGTGGGCATTTCAAGTCACTGCGGAGAGAAGCGTACGTCCAGTGAGGTAAACAAGTAAACATCTAGACCCAAAGAAATAAAACTCTCTGGGTAAAGAAAAGAGAGCACTTATCTTTATAAACTTGAGATGGAGAAGGCCTTTCTAAGAAAGACACAGATGTTAGGATTTGCACTGAAGAAGATAAACAGACACATAGAAAGCAAAACAGGGACAGAATAGCTGTCACGCACTATCAGTGGGAGTGGAAATGGAAACGGACTTTTCATCTGTAAGTCATACAGATACAGGAATATTACTTTGTTAATTACTGGAATCTTGTAATGAATTAAATTTTATTTTTGTATTAACCTTTTGTTAGTTTGCTTAACCATTACATTATCCCTGTATGCTACTTTACAGGCGGCAAAGCAAAAGTAAATTAAGCTTTTTTCCAAAATGGTGATTGTAAGTTGTATCTGTAAGTTACGTGCCTACTCTTAGAGATTTTCAATGCCTTGTAAAATGTACTTGAGCTTTTCAGCCTCACTGTTTCATCTGCAAAATTAAAAAAAAAAAAAAATCTTGCTTTCTCCTCTGAAAGTTGAAGGTGAGTTAATTTGCCCAAATTAGTGAAATCCGATAATCTTCTGAGCTAGGTGGTTGTCTATGAGTAGCAGTTGGCCCTGTATTGATCCAGACGTACATGGGTAAAAATTAATACATCCCTCTAATAATGGCTTTTTTTTTTTTTTTTGAGAGCTGTGTTTCAGACACAGTATCTGGTAATTAGCAATTACTCAGAAACTTTTGATAGATGATTGTTTTATTAATTGATGGCCTCATTCAATTATGACTGGTTAGGTTTCATAACCCCGCCTTTTACAGGAGATAACTGAAACTCAGAAGTCAAACACCTGCCAAAGGTCACCCACCTAGGAGAGGGCGGACTTCGTGGGACTTCACGTGGAGGGGGCACCTCTGTGGTTTCTGTTTGCAGCCATGGGCAAACTGAATTCAAACACCCAGGTCGCGCCTCGTTTCCATGCGCCCCTTGTGATAGACGCAGGAACTCCGAACTCTCAAACCAACATATCACACATTTTAAATAAAACTAAATGTAATAAAATGTTTGCACTCTCTTTTCAAAAGTCAGTGATTAACTTGAAGTTTCTTACAAAGCCATCATGAATTTAGGTCACAAGTCCAGGGGGCATGTTCAAATTGTTAAATGAAAGAAATCTTCCTGTGAGAGTCAAGTACACCTTTCCCTAGGCTTTCCTGAGGCAACCTATTAAAATGAAAAAGCAGAAATAAAGTGATTTCCCCATCATTTAGACATATTTGAGTGGTTATTTGGAACCGTCGTGAAAGAACCTGACCCTCACAGGACTGTACATCTGCTTCTGACACTCTACCAAACCAGAAAGCATAGTTCTTGCATGCTTGAGAGTAAGCCAGAAGTCACTGTAATGTTTATTGCTTCTTTGCTGATTTTCTAGTACATCTGAGGATGGTTCTCCAGGCCTGCTTTCTGTGTTCCATCACCGTCCCCACCAAACTGGTTTCAGGAACCTTTGACGGTGAGAGAGATCTCAAGGTGCTGCAACCTTTTCTCTGTGTAGAAATCATTGAAGGGCTTTCCGGTGAACATTCCAAATAAATGAATGACAGACAGCTGCATGAGCCTTTTCTTTTTCTTTCTTTCTTTTCTTTGCATTGAGATGTCCCTGTTTACTCTGGAGAGATAATCAGAAGAAACACTGGGGGACGTTTCATTTTTAAATCCAGCGAGTAGTACTGTGTTAGTTTCATATAATGATTTTTAAAACAGCGATTTCACTTTGCTTCTTTGTTTAAGTGGAAATGTGATTACTCAAAGGCTCGGTTGTGTGGCAGTCACAAATAATATAGTTATTTATTTTCCAAAGCTCAGTGTAGTAGGATATCAAAGTAGTTCATAATCACCCAAACAAATATCCTTTTGGAGACTTCCCGGTTAGGAGGGCTGAAATGTTTTCATTAGGAGGAAGGGATTTATTCATCGGTAAATCTGTTTCAAGGTAGTAAAACATCTGAGCATTTGCATAAATAACCACTAAAGGAATGTAAATGACAAAGGAGGATTTCATTACCATAAAACTCTCAGGCTACCTGAAGGGCTTGGAATGCGGGCAGGTCTGGTTTCAAGCACCCTCTCACCTTTACAAGACAATTATTTTAGGCATTTCTGGGGAGAGAAAGAACCCTACATCCTTCTTGGCAACAGTCCTCACATATTAACTAGCTGGATCCTCAAAACGGAAGGGCTCCTCTTGACTATTTGTATATTAAATATCTATCTGCAAAATCCTCCTGTGTCTCATCGTGCGTGCAGGCATTAGGTTGCTCTGAGAATATTTCCTGAATTACTTCTGGAAAACCAATGATTATAACAGGACCGGACTAATCAGAATGCTCTCTTTGCACCATGGTACATTTTGCAAATCACTAGCACACAGATTTCAATTTGCTCGCATCATGAAGAAGGAAACTCATATGGATTTAGAAGGGAGAATGTCGGATCCATGATGGCAGCGCCGACTGATGCGGAACATTAGCCCCAGAAGGCTGAAAACGAGAAGGCATTCCCCTTCTGCGCTGTGTACACAGGCATGAGGTGTTTAGCAAACACAGAATTTTCGGAGGGCAGGATCCTGCGGCTGATTAGCGTGCTAGGATTTCACCCTTGGGCTCTGCCACTAGGTCTGCTCCGGTTTCAAGGGTTGGGGGTCTGGGCTTCAGCCGACCTGCTTTAGGAGATTAGTTCCTTTTAGAAAGGTTCCTGGAACTTCTCAGCCCATCTGCATTTGCACGTCTGTGTGTGTGTGGGCGCACGCGCGTGTGTGTGAAAATTCGTGCACGCATTTGGATGTGGGGATTGCACATAGACTATTGCACTTACCTCCACAGTCAAGCTACGCTCTACTATCAAATTTCCAAGAATCGCCCCCTACCCGCCCCCACCTCTTACCCTGGCTCCCATTGTTTTGCTCCATACCTGCAATGGTTTCCAAAAGCTTGGTTGCTGGGTTGACTGCTTCCTCATTCTATCGACTTCCCCTTCTGCCTTCACTCCAGCCTAAGCAACGGTCCTGTGATGTCTAAGAAAAAAGAAAGAAGGCGTTTCCATGCTGGCTAAATCAGAGAAAGCATACATCCACATTGTCCCCCAGTAGAAAGGAAGTTAAAAAATAAACTGAAATGGGGGCGCCTGGGTGGCTCAGTTGGTTAAGCGACTGCCTTCCGCTCAGGTCATGATCCTGGAGTCCCAGGATCGAGTCCCGCATCGGGCTCCCTGCTCGGCAGGGAGTCTGCTTCTCCCTCTGACCCTCCTCCCTCTCATGCTCTCTGTCTCTCATTCTCTCTCTCAAATAAATAAATAAAATCTTAAAAAAAATAAAAAATAACTGAAATGCTCAAAAAGTCAGGTGTTTCTCAGCCAGAAAATTAGCTCTGCTCTTCGGCAGAAATTCTCATTTAATCATATTGCTTCTGGTAGTTCATAAATGGTAGTTTTGGTTTTTTTCACTGTGTGCAGTGACCAGTGTGGGACAGTTTTATGGTTTTATATGGGACATCTGGTACATTCATAAGAAAAATGTATTACAAAAATGGTCACAACCTCTTGCATAACTTTCTGTTCTCTAACTCTCTTGAAAATACGAAGTGATATTTAATACAAATATTGAGAATTATGGCATTTTAACAATATTCATTATTTATTTGGCTCAAAATACCAGCACTAATAGAGAACATTTCTTGGGTCTAAATATGAGACATTGTACTAATCTTATGAATATTATCTCATTAAATTCTTCCATCAACTCTATGATGTAAATTTGATTATTGTCCATATTTTATCAAAAAATATGAAGCCTGAAGGTTTTTTTGTTTGTTTTTTTTTTGATTCTTGCTGTTTGGTACTTTTATTTCTGAAAATGGGTTGATAGATCACAAAGTGCATTCAGTTTTCCCTTTAATAGGTTACAGCTGTTCACACTCTCACAAGTCATGTAGAAAGATGTCCATTTCCCCACATTCTGTGTTTTTTATTTTATTTTTATTATTTTTTAATTTAATTCCAGTTAGCTAACATACAGTGTTGTATTAGTTTCAGTTGTATAATATACTGATTTAAGACTTCCATACATCACACGGTGCTCATCACGACAAGTGCACGCCTTCATCCCTGTCACCTAATTCACACATCCTCCCACCCACCTCCCCTCTAGTGACCATCAGTGTGTTCTCTGTAGTTAAGAGTCTGTTTCTTGGTTTGCCTTCCTCTCCCCACCCCTTTGTTTGTTTGCTTTGTTTCTTAAATTCCACATGAGTGAAATCATATGGTATTTGTCTTTCTCTGACTGACTTATTTTGCTTAGTGTAATACTCTCCAGCTCCAACCATGTTATCACAAATGGCAAGATCTCACTTCTTTTCATGGCTGAATAGTATTCCATTATATATATATACACCACATACATCTTCTTTATCCATTCATCTACAATGGTCACTTGGGCTGCTTTCATATCTTGGCTATTGTAAATAATGTTGCAATGAACATAGGAGTGCATGTATCCCTTTGAATGAGTATTTTTGGATTTTGGGTAAATACTTAGTAGTGTGATTACAAGGTAGTTCCATTTTTAACTTTTTGAGGAGACTCCATACTGTCTTCCACAGTGGCTGCCCCAGTTTGCATCCCCATCAACAGTGTAGGACAGTTCCCTTTTCTCCACATCCTCCCTAACACTTGTTTCTTGTGTTGTTGATTTTAGCCATTCTGACAGGTGTGAGGTGATATTTTAGAGGCCTAAAGAGGTTTTAACAACTTCCCCAGTCTCACAGCCAGCCAGGGTGGAGCTGGGCAGCACCTGGTGTGCCAGTCCATCATGTGATTGTACAATGCTGCCCAATAGTTGCAAAAGTAAAATAGTAGTAGAAGCAAGGAAGCGTGCCTAGCAAGTTGTCTAGCCACCTACAAATTGGTGTGGGATGGTTTGATGTTACGGGGCAGAGGTGTACTCATGGTTAGAAATCATGTGTTTAGCAAACTTAAATGAAGAGCTATGCCCAGGCAGGATGTTATAAGTCAGTGTGTTTCTTCTCTGATTCCCCACTGGAGTAATGGAAGTTCTTTTTTTTTTTTTTTTTA